ACCAGCCATGCTGACACCTCAATTTCAGACTTCTGGCCTCTGGAACCATAAGAAAATCTATTTCTATTGTTTTAAGCCATGGAGTAGCCATGCCTTCTCACTGGGGCTCTGTGCGTTTTCTGTGACTCCCTGAACACGGAACCATCACTTCTCCTCCTCCCTTCTCTCCTCCCTTCCACCCCAACTCATGCCCATCTTGCAAGACTAGCTCAGTGTGCTTCTACCCAGAGTCTGTCTGATGGTTTTCTGTCCTCCCATACCTTCAGCCCTGAGTTCAGTTGGCTACTCCTCCTTTCTGTTCCCTTAGCTCTCTGAGCCCACCTCGTACTTGGTTCTTACGGTGTTTTTTAAGCACCTAGCACAATGTTAGACTCTGAGGTGATTTTGTGGGCTGTGGAGTGTGACAGGCCCTTCACCACAGCACACTGCACTTTCCTCAAGGGCTAGGACTGTGTCTTCATATTAAAATCCCCAGGATCTTGGCAAATATGGAATTCCATGGGAAAGGAGGTTGATAGAGGGTGGTTTGGTAACAGACTTAGTTTTCCTTCTCTTGGCAGGTTGAATTCCTTCCTCTGTCATGATGAGGATGCTGAAATAAAGAAACAATGGGAACCCAGCATGGTGACTCAAGCCTGTAATCCCAACTATTCAGGAGATGGAGATCAGGAGGATCATGGTTCCAAGCCAGCCTGGGCAAAGAGTTAGCAAGACCTCATCTCTACAAATAAGCCAGGCATTGTGGCATACACCTGTGATCACAGATACATAGGTAGTAGGATTACAGTCTGAGGTGGCCCCTCCCCCAACAAAAAACTCAAGATCCTATTAGAAAAATAACTGAAGTGAAAAGGGCTGGAGGCATGGCTGAAGTGGTAGAGCACTTGCCTAGTAAGTGCGGGGCCTTGAGTTCAAATCTCAGAAAAGAAAAGAAAGAAAGAAAGAGGTATCCTTAGGAGAAGACACATGGGACCCAGCTAAGGAGGCCACCCATTGAGCTATTTTTTCCCAGATGACTCATAAAGGTAAAGGGTTGGAGAGGGCTTGGCTGGGCAGGACAGGGTGAAGGGTGCAATGCACTGGGCATGGTGCCACATGCCTAATATCCAGCTACTTGGGAGATTGAACAGGAGGCTCTCAAGTTCAAGACCAGGGCTGGGGCATCGCTAAAGTGGTAGAGCACTTACCTAGGAATCTGGTGGCCCTGGGTTTTATCCTTATTTCTGCAAAAATAAAAGGCTGCAATCAACAGCCCCAAGCACAACCCAGGTGACTGGCCCTGCCCAGCTTCATTGGCTCATGCTTAACTTGGGAAGCTGACCAGCCCTAATTTCTTCTCCAGGGTTTCCTCACCTCCTGACTTCCAAGAGGCTCTATAGGGCTGACTCCGAGTCCTGGGCTATAAAGGAAGAAAGGGGGAAGGGAGCTGGGGGACCTTACATGATCCTATCTCCACTCTTCACGACCACCACCCTCATTAAATGCCTTCCTGCATACAGCCACCCTTTTCTTACTCCTTCCTGCATAAGCATCCATTAAGCACCTGACACTCTGTGGCATATATCCTGCCAGGTGCTGGGTTTCCAAGACAAATAAATCTGTAACCCGTGCCCACAAGGGGCTCACAGACTAGTTGAGAGACAGACTGAAAAAAAAAAAGCAAGAGGCCCAGACAAGGCTACTAAGTTCCAGGATTTCTAGCCCAGCAAGCACATACATCACACATACACACACACTCCATAGTCATCATGACTGTGAGCAAACACACAGACCATAAAGTAATATACAGAGGACAAATAAAAGAAGTAGATGACTTGGATGGCAAGGGCGAGGCTTTTTTTTAATGGATATTGCAGGAGAATAAATAATGGGCCCTTGCCCAGAATGGGATGTGGTAAGAAAGAACTTTGGAAAGGGGCAGAGGCTGCAGGATCGAGGGCTGTCAGTGTCTAGCACAACTGGTCAGGTCAAAGACTAGGGAGGAAGAGACAGGAGTTGGGGAACACTGTTGTGGCTAAGTGGGGCAAGGGTAGGAGAAGCACAGAAAACAACTGTTTGAATCCCAGCCCCACAATAGCAGTCATGTGGCGATGGATGAGTTACTTAACTACCTAAGCGTTGGCTCCTTACCTTGCAAGCTGGCTAACGATAGTAGCCACATCAAGCTGTTGGAAGGATCAAATTAGATAAGGCTTGTAAAACATTTAGATCTAACTGACACATGGTACATGGTTATCACTTAACAAGCAAGCTAACAACAACAACGAAGGCTGGCAAGGCAACCTGTATGCAGGGCACCTGGGGCTCTGTGTTTCCCGGTTGCAAAACTGGCTTAGCCCTAGCTAGATCCTTCCTCACATCCCTACATGTGCTGCCCCTCCCCCAGCAGAGACTTGAGATTTTCATGGTGAAACGACTTCTATATCCTTTCCTTTCTGGGAACCTAACAGCCAAAGTCCTCCTCCCCACACTATCCAGACAGTCAATGCCTTGGATGTCCGACCACTTGTCTGTTCACAGGCCTTAAGTTGCTTGTGACCTTGAAAGAGGGTAGAACGCTGCCAATGGCTCAGATGCCTATGTTCTCTGGGGCTGTCTCCCCGGGGCCACCTGGGCAGAGCTATTCTCAAACATCCTTGTGTTCCGTATGAATCACTGAGGGAGAAGGGTGAAGTGCTGGTGGTCTCTGCTTTCACCAACTCTTTGGGGCTGGGTCATCCAGTCCTGCTGTGCCCCTGCTCGTTGGTTCAAGGAGGAGAGGTACACCTGAGAACGGGGCAGAGCTAGGCTTCTTGGGATGCCCCAGGGAGTCCGCCGCACATAGTTGGCGCCCAGTAAGTGTTTGTTTAATCATGGGGGAGCCTGAATAATTCCTACCACCTGAGTCAGGACCCTGGGATAGGAGTCAAATTCCCATGACAGAGCCCTGAAGAGACCCTTAGTTCAGCCCTGTGGACTATTTCCAGGGATATTTTTCAACTCATTCTATAATAATAATGATTATAAATGTTTTATATATATATATATATTTTACAAAGTATGGCAACACATATCTAAAGTATGATGTAAACTGCAAAGAGTTATGTACATCTAGTATGATTTTTTTGTTCTGGCTTGGTTTTTTGGCAGTACCGAGGTTTGAAGTCAGGGTCTCATGCTTGCTAGGTAGGCACTCTACCATTTGAGCCACTCCACTAGCCCTATTTTTTTAAGCCTCTAAACAGAAATACCCAGAGATAGGATAGGTGTTATCTACAAGTTGAGGAAACTGGCTATTGGAGAGGTGTGGAAGTTGTCTCACAGGGCAGGAATCTAGGTCTTTCCACAACTGTATCACATCAAGCAGTTCAATGTGAAATCTACTGAGCTCCAGATGTTGTGTTGTGATGGGCAGGGGAAAGAGGAGGCAGTATTTTTAAATGGCATACCCCACTCTGTGAGGTCCCTGGGAATTGTTCTTGTCTCTCTCTTCTTACTCTACTCACTTCTTGGCTGACCTCAAGCCCTCCCTTGGCTTTAGCCATCTAAACCACAGAGGAGCCATCTTGTGATGCTCCAAAGTGTCCAGCCTCCATGACTCCCCGAACTCCAAAGTTATTGACCCAGTGTCTTCTGTTGAGGATCTCCCTAGCATTGCCAATTTGGCAAGTCCAGAGCTGAGGTCCCCTCCCAGCACCTGCTCAGCATCCTGCATTCTTGCCTCAGGTGGTGGCACTCCCACCCAACACTTAGGTGTCATCTTGTAGGGGATCACCCACTCAGCCAATCTCTTGCCAAGTCCTGTCCAGTTTTCTTCTAAACATCTTTCAAATCCTGCCCTTCCCCGCCTCCCCCCACTTTCTGTCCCAGGTCATGCCCTAATCACTGGATAACAGCCTCCTTCCAGTCTTTCTGTCTCCAGTCTTATCTTCCTTTGATCCAATCCATCCTCCTTGCAGCCAATCTGTGCGTGGCTCCAAACCCTTAAAACAGTGAGTGGTTCCTCTCTGTCTGCAGGGTTGAAGTCCAAGTTCTGTAACGAGGCTTCCTTTGATAATGACCCGCCTTTACAGCCTCTTCTCTGGCTATTCCCTGCCGCAAACCTTTTACTTCACAGAAGCTGGCCTGAAACCAACCATAGTTGGAAGACCTATATAGTGTCCTCGTGAAATTTTCATATATATATTTTTAAAACAAGCAACCCTGCATTTTCACTTTGCATTAGAACCCACAAATTATGTGGCCGGTCCTGGCTGCCTGTTGTTCTCTGCACCCCTCTTGCAGTTTGTGGCTTGTAAAACTTTGAGCAGTCTCCTCTGTTCCGGAACACCTTTTCTGCACATCACCCCGCTTTCGGCAGCTCTCCTTTAAGACTCAGTGTATGTGTTATCTTTGGGATACCTTCGCCTCCTTCTTTCTCCCTTCCCTGTCCCAATCGCCCAACACGAAGCAGATGCTCAACCCACGTCTATCAAATAAACTGAATGGGAAGGTAAAGTGTGACAAGTTCTGCAAGAGACGTACAAACTGCTAAGCACTGTAAAAAGAGGCAAGGTAGGAAGAATATGCTGTCCAGATCGGCGCTAAGAACTCGCCTGCAAACGCGTTGGAAGGCAAAATGTAACAAGTGCAACAAGACCTACAAACGCTGCAGACGGTAAAGCAAGGCAGATTGAAAAGAAGGAATTTTCAATTGCTTCGGAATGTGATGTGCAGTTCAACGCCAGGAACAGGCTTGCAAATGTGTTCATCCGCCAGAAGGGGGCTCCGCGCGCCCAAAGGTGGTGGGGGAAACTGCGGAGAACTAGCTCTTGTGCGCCGCCTGCCGCAACAAGATGGCAGCTGCAGATGTTTCCAGGCAACCCGCCACCACCGCCGCCTCTGAGCAAGAGCCCGCCTCGCGTCGCCCATTGGCTCTCTCCTGTTCTCCCGCCCCGCCCCGGAGGCTCGGCCTTTTAGGGCTTGGACGTGGGCGGGGCTTGAGGGTGTGGGCGGAGCGTTCGTTCTGATTGGCTCTGCATAAGGCGGCGACGTGGCCGAAGGAAGCCCGTTTTGCCGGAACTGATGCTCAGCCGGGATTGGTGAAAGGGCGGGCCTAGGTCTCCGGCCGGAAGTAGAAGTGGAGGAAAGATGCAGGTGCGGGAATTGGGTTTTAGGGTACGGGGACTGGCCTGGGACCCCTACCCTGCCTTCCGGCCTCCCTCCCGAACGCAGCCCGTCGGGAGGCGGTTGGGGCTGTGAAATGAGCGTGCGCGTGGCGCATCACCTGCCTGCGCTTACGTCCCCCTCTCCGCCGTGTTTCCCGCCAGGACCATCAGCACGTGCCCATCGACATCCAGACCAGCAAGCTGCTCGGTAGGAGGGGGCTTAGTCGGCTGTTGGGGGAGACCTGTATTTTGCCTCCTGACTCCAGCAGCGAGGAGCTCTGATCACCTGAAAGCCTGGGTTGGAGTGCTAACCAGCTATATACTGTGGCCTGAACTGTCTCACTAAGAGCAGGAGGAAGAAACCATATAGGAAGTCTGTGCTTTACCAGCGTTTTCTACTTATCATTTGTATCATGTTGTTACCAAATCATATCAGTCAGTGACAGAGGATAAATGGCTTGCATTAAAGATGGCTAATTACTACATGTCAGATCTGAATTGGGACTTAAGCCTGTCAAACTCAATGTTTATACTTTTGGCATTATGCCCCAAACCAAAAACTCTCCTGTCTTTTGTTTTAAAAGCTCCTAGCTCCCTTTCATTTAGGAGAAAAAAGAGGTCTAAGACTCAGTTGGAAATGGAGCACTTTAGGGGCCAGGCCACCACTGTATCTGGTCTACCTACCTCCTCCCCAGTTCAGAACCACAGAAGGGCCTCTTTATTCTAACCACATGTGCACAGCTCCTGGCATTAAAAAATGTTCACTGGATTTATCAGTCTTCTGCCAATCTTGTCCTTAAAATGGTGTTAGACTGCCTCACTTCTTTGCTCCTAGATCCACAGAATTTTCCTTTATAAACATTTTAGAGGAATACAGCAGAGGGAGCTTTTGTGATCCTGTTATGGCTCCCAGTGTTTGACCTGTTGGCAGATTTGTTAACAAAGGTTACTGTACTAAATTCAGCGCTATATAGGGCCATTTAGTTAGTCCCCTGTGGTGGCCACTGGTGGAGTTTCCAAGGCCCTTTAGACTTGTCCCAGCTTGGCTTTTCAGCTACTGTGTGCTCATCCTGGTATGTGAACTTGTCTGGGTCATGAAAAGAGCCAATGAAACAACCATTCACTGAGGGTTTGTTCTGTACCAGGTGCTGTTTTATGCACTTAGAATTATAAAAGTGAGCTATGTGCTGGTGCCTCACACCTGTAATCCTAGCTACTCAGTAGGCAGAGATCAGGAGAATTGTGATTTAAAGCCAGCCAGGGAAAATAGTTTGAGAGACTGTATCTTGAAAAACCCAACAGAAAAGGGTTGGTGGAGTAGCTAAAGGTGTATGCCCTGAGTTCCTAAGTTCAAGCCCAGCCAAAAAAAAAACAAAATTATAAAAATGAAGGTGGTAGGCTGGGGCATGGTTCAAGTGGTAGAGTGCTGAGTTCAAAACCCCAGTATCACTAAAGGAAACAAATGGTCACTAAAATCTGTTAAGTTTTTTGTTTTTGTTTTTTGTAGTATGGGTTATGAACTCAGGGCCTTGCACTACCTTGCAGGTGCTCTATCACTTGAGTCACAGCCCCAGCCCCAGAGCTGGTGAATTCTTGCCCAAGCCTGGTACAGTGTTCACAGTTTTATCTCATTCCCTTTTGTACTCAGTGTCTTATCCCCATTTTATGTGTGGAGAAACTGAGGCACAGAGAGGTAGAGAGACTTGCCTAAGAAACTTGATAATTTTGTTTTTTTGATGCGACTGGGGTTTGAACTCAGGGCTTTGTGCTTGCAAAGCAGGTGCTCAGAGTCTTTACTCCCATTTCCTGCTGCTCCCCATTCTCCCCATTCTTATCCTGTTATACTAAATTCTTTTCCTAATAAAACTACTGTTACTTTTACTATTTAAAAAAAAAAAAAAGCAGGCACGCTACCTTCTGAGTAGTCCATTTTGCTCTAGGGGATCAAGATCTATTTTCCAGGCTGGCCTTGAACCAGGATCCCCTGGATCTCAGCTTCCCAAGTAGCTAGGATTAACAGGCATGAGCCACAGGCGCCTGGTGAAACTTGATTTAGAACCCAGGACTATATAGCCACAAAGCCTAGCTCTTAGTTCTACTGAGGAAACGGGCATGGCTATTAGGCTTCAATCCTGAATGCAGCTCTTTGAGGTCAGTCACGTTGGTAGTCACATACACAGGATGGCACCTCACTATTAAAGATAGACTGGTGTCACCTAGTCCTTGGGACGCTGTAGGTATTAAGGGCTTTGCAGCTCGCTCATCCGGTACTTGGCATAACCACCTTGTGTTTTCCATTGTCATAGTTAATCTCAGCCCTGAGGAAATGGAAGTCAAGCAGCATCCTCTGTCAACATGAAAGATATAATTACCCATAAAAGCAAAATATTATGGAGAATTTAGAATGGTCAAAAGTGGCACTTTCATGTCAGGACCAATTTAAAGTTCTTCATTATCCTCACATTGAGGGAACTGCTGTATAAAAATCACACTGCAGATAAGTCAGGCCAGCAGAGTCTGTTTAGCCCAGGCATCTCTGGCTCTGTGTTCCCATGGACCCTTTTATAGATTAACCAATACAAAGACAACTTTAGCCAATCTCCAGTTTGTTACACTTGAGTTAGTGGTGGGGTTTGGGAGGCGTGGAAAAGTGCTGTGATTAGGTATTTCTCATGCAGACTGGCTGGTGGACAGAAGGCACTGCAATCTGAAATGGCAGAGTCTGGTGCTGACAATCCGGGAGAAGATCAATGCTGCCATCCAGGATATGCCAGAGAGCGAAGAGATTGCCCAGCTGCTCTCTGGATCTTGTGAGTGCTTTGAGGCTATGTCACTGGAGTCCCCTTTCTCCTGGAGCAGTTGTATCTACCAAGCCACTCCTTGGTTGTTTAGCATCCAGGTCTGAGCACAGAGAAGGGGAAAGAGTTTTATTTGGGATACACGTTCTGGTTTCTTCCAAGTGCAGAATGATGAATGTGAGAGCTACCTGCCAAAATTACTGGTAGTACTATACACATGAGAGAGCTACCTGCAGTGGCCAAAGGAGGATGAGGAAGACTCAAAAGTCTTTACTCTTCCTTGCTTTCCAGACATTCACTATTTCCACTGCCTGAGAATCATAGACCTTCTCAAAGGCACTGAGGCCTCCACAAAAAATATTTTTGGTCGGTACTCTTCTCAGCGGATGAAGGCAAGTGTGGCTGGGGGCTGGTAATGTGTACCTGGGGACATCCAGTCCATGGCCTCTTTGGTCTGCCTGAGGATCCAGTGGAGAAGACTACCTAGAATACTTTCTGAACTTTCTCTCAGTCCCTATAGTTTGTGCCAAAAGTAGATCTTCCCACTGGGCTTACATTTTCTGAACTGCTGCTTTGGGGAGCAATTGTTGGTGTCACACTCTTACAATGAAGTGGGTGGCCCAGCCAGTGTTAGGAGCTGGAGGAGGACAAAGAGTTTATGTTTGGTGTGATGGGAAGCCTGGGGAGGCTCCCCCATCCAGGAATTGAGTTATGAAGTGACTGCTGAGTTTCTGGCTCACTTCTTCTTTCTGTTCTACTCAGGATTGGCAGGAGATCATAGCCCTGTATGAGAAGGACAACACCTACTTAGGTAAAGTGACCCTGGAATCCCCAGGGAAACCTGTTCCCAGAGTCTGAGACATCAGGTTTATAGGAGGCATGGTCTATGTGTGGGAAGAGGCTGGAGTGTAGTAATTCCCCAATCATAAGTGAGAAAAACAGTTCTGAGGAGGAGGAGGATCAGGCAAGAAGGAGGCATTGTGTGCCTAACTGAGCAGGTGCCTGAGCTGCTCCATCTTCTTGGTAAGGTAGCATGCTCTACCCCTCCCTATTCTGCACTAGGCAGAAAAGGCATAAGTCATCCTGGGAGCCATGTTGGGTGCCTGAGAGAAAGCATGATCACAGTGTCGATTGGGTCTTCAAATAGTATAAACAATCATGATACCTAATATTTGTCAAGTACTTTTAAGCTGAAGGAATTGTGCTTGGTGTTTTATATGGATCCACATGGTAAATATTACTGTCCCTGTTTTGCAGCTGAGGGTCGGAGTCCAGAGGCTATGGAACTTGTCTCAGATTCCAGGAAGGGGAGGGACTGGGAAGGCAACCTGCTCTTCACCACCACACTAGGGCATCTTTGGCTGCATCCTGGGGCATCTTGCCTAGATTAGAGTATCATGGGATGAATTTTCTGGGCCCTCCTCAGTGGAACTCTCTAGCCTCCTGGTTCGGAATGTCAACTACGAGATCCCCTCATTGAAGAAGCAGATCGCAAAGTGCCAGCAGCTGCAGCAAGAATACAGCCGAAAGGAAGAGGAGGGCCAGGCAGGGGCTGCCGAGATGCGTGAGCAGTTCTACCACTCGTGCAAGCAGTATGGCATCACGGTGAGTGGGTGTCATGGTGAGCAGGTACCTCATGGGAGTGGGTGGGAACCTGGGCCCTGCTGTTTTCCGGCGCCCAGCTCTTCTGTTGGTGGCAAAGGATTCCCTCTTAGCCTTCTTCCTTCAGTGCCCCCCTTGGGCCAGTGTCACCTTTCTCCAATCTTTGGATAGTTCCACCTTCCACCAAGTCTGTCCTAGAACCTCCCTTCTCTGTTCTCTAGGGAGACAATGTTCGAAGAGAACTTTTGGCCCTGGTGAAGGACCTGCCAAGTCAGCTGACTGAAATTGGGGCGGGGGCTCAGTCCCTGGGGGAAGCCATTGACCTGTACCAGGCCTGTGTGGAGTTTGTGTGTGAAAGGTAAAGAGAACCTCGGCTCCTCTTTAGCAGCGGGATGGTCTACCTGTTCTCCCTGGCTCTTCTCCACTGCTATTATTCCCACATGACATGTGGGCTGCATTTTACACACTTGAACTAGCAGGAGCCTTCCCTGTCTGACCATGCGGCCCAGGTATTGGCTTCCCAAGTGGTCAGTGAGCTCAGCTGTGCTTTGTTGAAGCCCCACAGAGCAGGTGTCGCCCATGCTGCGGCATGTGCAGAAGCGGGGAAACTCAACCGTGTATGAATGGAAGACAGGGACAGAGCCCTCTGTGGTGGAGCGGCCACACCTTGAAGAGCCTCCTGAGCAGGTGGAAGAAGATGAGGTAAGACAAACTTTCTTAAGGAACCCAGTGAGAGCCACTTGCCCCCAACAGACACACAGCCCTAACCCTGTCCTGAATTCAGAATCCCAGAGGGAAGAAAGGGAGAAGTTGTTTGAGCGTGACATAGACAGGTGTACCTCGAAGTCCGTGCTTCTTTATTTTTCTGTGCCTTTTTGAGATAGATGAGTGCTGGAGGGCTCAGCAAGGTGCTCATGTTGAGCCAGGAGCCCTTGAGTTGCATTTGTCCTCTGAAGATGGGCTTTCTTCTGAGAACTTGGATGCCATTACACTTGAACATGTGTTTCCTACAGAAGCAGCTGAGGTCTATGGGAAGGCAAGCCTCCTTTGTTTTTTGTTTTTTTTTTTTTTTGAGAAAGGGTTTCACTATGTAGCCCAAGCTGGCCTAGAACTCTCAATCCTCCTGCCTCAATCTCCCCAGTGCTGGGATTATAGACGTGAGCCAAATAAGGTTTTTAACTCACCTTATTTGACTAACATTCTTTCTTTTTTGCCTTCTAGATTGACTGGGGTGACTTTGGTGTGGAGGCAGTTTCAGACCCCAGCATCTCTGCGGAGGCCTCTGGAATTGACTGGGGCATCTCCCTGGAATCAGAATCAAAGGTTAGGATGCTCTCTCGGTTCATCACTCTGAGGACTTTGTGTGATCCTGCTTTAGCCATAAAAAAGTATAGTCTGTGTCTGTGAAGGTCTCCCTCCGAGGACAGGTGCATTCCAAGGGAAACAGTTTCAAAAGTGACATGTCAATGTTTAGAGCTCCTTTCTGCTGAGATTTGGGGGAAGGTATATGGGTGCAAGCAGGTGGTAATCTTATAAAGCAGGGGTGAGGGTGGTAGCATAATGGGGCTCACATTGCCATCTTTTTCACTTACATTGGGATTTTAGACCTTAGACCACTTGGAGTGTGAAGTCATTGAACTTTTCAAGGGCTTTGGTCTCTTCTGGCTCCCTGGACTGGGGAAATCCTCCTAACATTCCTGGGTTCTTTGCTTTCTACCCAGGACCCTGGGAGTGATGGGATAGACTGGGGAGATGATCCTGCTGCTTTGCAGATCACAGTGCTGGAGGCAGGAACCCAGGGTAAGTTACCTGTAGCCTGGCGTGTTTAGACTCAGAAAAATATGCGCTACTGAGATTAGGCTTCTCGCAAATTTAACTTTCTCAAAATCGTTGTGAGGATGTGAGTGGAGGGGGACAGAGATGAATTTGTTAAATTAAATCTAGAAACCCTCAGCTTTTTGCAGGACAGCCATTTTGGTGGGGAGTTAGGGGGCTGGCTTTGGCCCAAGTCTCACCTAACCTCCTCCCTGCAGCAAAGAGGCTGTAGCAATGTTCTGAGCCACTAGAGGGCAATGCAGGATGACACTTTACCTCCTGCTGCCACCAGTGCAGAACTGGTCTGCTCTTCTGAACCCAGTTGTGGTTCTCTTGTCAGGCTGGAGTTGGCAGGAGGGTCTGAGTAAGGCAAGACATACGGGAAAGTGTATTCTTCCCCCTTGGGGTTGTTCTGGAAAGTGGCTTTAGTGTCGAGTGTGTCCACAGTAAACTCCTCAAACTTCAGGGTCTTTTCATATCCTCCCTTACTTTTCTACCTCTCTTCCTGGCAGCTCCAGAAGGCGTTGCAAGGGGACCAGATGCTCTGACACTTCTTGAGTACCCCGAGACCCGGAATCAGTTCATTGATGAGCTCATGGAGGTACTGTTGTCTAAGAGATATTGGGGGAGGGGGTGTGCTTTAGTTTGAGCACAGATGACATCACTTCTGACCTTTCCTGTTGGTGTGAAGGGCACTGAGTGCTTTCTGTGTCCTGGAACAGGAGCCTAACAAGTTAGGATGCTCCCCATTCATTCAACTCATACTATCATTCACCTCCAAAGTGACTGACACTTCAGAGCAGTGAACAAGATATTCAAAGGCTTTGATGTCATGGAGCTTATATTCTAGTGGGAAAGACAGACAAGAACCATGACAAATATGCTGTACGTTAGATGGTACTAAGTACAATGGAGAAAAAGAAAGCTAGGGAAAGATGTAGGCATTGTTGGGAAGGATTGTGGTATTATATCTGGGGGTCAGGGAAGACTCATTTAGAAAGTAAACTTAGGACTCACGGAATGGCTCAAGTGGTAGAATGCCTGCCTAGCAAGCATGAGGTCCAGAGTTGAAGTCCCAGTACTGCCAAAAAAAAAAAGTAGAAGTTAACTATAAGCTGAAACTGCAAGTCGTCTTGATGTGCAGAAGGGCTCCTAAGACAGAGGGAACTACTGCAGAGGCCCCAAGGTAGGAGTCTGCCTTGCACATTTGACTAATAAGGAAGTCTCATAGTTGAGCAGGGGGAGCTGGGGCAGGGAATACAAAAGTAGCTGGGAGAGATAGTTTGGATTAGTTTGACTTGGTAAACTGGGAAGCTGTTGTGTTGGAGGTTTTGAATAACTTACAAGCCACATGATCTTGTTTGTATTGAGCTACAATCCCATGGCTAAGGTGTAAGCAGCTAAAGTAAGAGCTGCTGTTCTTGTACCATCCCCATCCCCATGTGACTGGGAAGATGGGGCCCTGAATTTGTTAATCTCTGGGGTCTGTTCCCTTCTGAGTGGCCTGTGGTTGGGATAAGCCTCCTAGAAGTTCTGTCCTCATCCAGTTTTCTCCCTTTTTTTTTTTTTAAACCAAAGAGGCTCCTTCTAGCTTCAAAGGGAGAGGAGAACAAAAGCTATCCAGGTTTTTTGTTTGTTTTGCTTTTTTCTTTGAACTCAGGGCCCTTCACCTTGAGCCATTCCACCAGCCCTTTTTTGTGAAAGGTTCTTTTGAGATAGGGTCTCATGCATGAACTATTTATCTGAGTTGCATTTGAACCTCAATACTCCTGATCTCTGCCTTCTGGGTAGCTAGGATTATAGACGTGAGCCACCTGTGCCTGGCTAATAGCTACTTTTTCTGGCAAAATAAGATTGACTAGAAATGCGGTTGGTCCTCATACTTTGTCTTAACCCAGGGCTTCTCAAACATGGATTCCCATTTCCTGAATCTCATTCTTCCCTTGGAGAGAAAATAAATACCTTCACTGGGGCAGAAAGAACCCTTTGAATCTCTGATCCACAGAAGGAAGGATGGAGGTAGAGCTAGGTAGGCCTGAGACAGAAATGGAGGCTGCCCCATGCTCTCACATGACAGTGGAATTTCTAGCAATGAATGTGTTCAGAGGAGATAACCTAACCTCCCCCAGAGTCTAGTCCTTACTGCTCATTCTCACACTTTGAGCAGCCTGAAGCTTAGCTTCTGAGTTTTTTTCTTAGTTTGAACCAAGTTCTCTTACATCCTCAGCTTGAGATCTTCTTGTCTCAGAGAGCAGTAGAGATGAGTGAGGAGGCTGACATCCTGTCCATAAGCCAGTTCCAGCTGGCTCCTGCTATCCTGCAGGGCCAGACCAAAGAGAAGATGATTACCATGGTGTCCACACTGCAAGATCTGATTGGTCGGCTCACCAGTCTTCGAATGCAGCACCTGTTTATGATTCTGGCCTCACCAAGGTCTGACTATCCTGCTACTGGGCTCTGCTATCTTGAGCAGCAGTGTGCCCTTGTATTCCTTCTCTTCTTCTGTGACCCCTTAGACCTCATCCCTGCCTTCTGTAATACCACCCTTTCCTGGGACAGGGGCTGTCTTTGGGGCGAGATGGGGTGGTTCAATGTGTACAGGTAGGACGGGAACAAGAACCTGGAGTAGGTATTCCTTACAGGAAAGGACTCAAAAGATGTAAGGGTGAGGGGCCAAATGGGGAATTGGCTTTCTGAGCCGTAGCCCGTCCAGCAGTTGATTGGGGAACAGCCTCACCACTCACTTGAGTGCCCTGCACAGGTATGTGGACCGAGTGACGGAATTCCTCCAGCAGAAGCTGAAGCAGTCCCAGCTGCTGGCTTTAAAGAAAGAGCTAATGGTGCAGAAGCAGCAAGAGGCACTTCAGGAGCAGGCAGCTCTGGAGCCCAAGCTAGACCTGCTGTTGGAGAAGACCAAGGAGCTGCAGAAGCTGGTAAGACAGGATGGGGCAACCAGCCACATGGGAGAAATCTCTGCAGAATGAGACCCTAAGCCTGCTTGTCTGCTCCCTGCCCACTCAGCATCTCTGTCTCTCAGATTGAAGCTGACATCTCCAAGAGGTACAGCGGGCGCCCTGTGAACCTAATGGGAACCTCTCTGTGACACATTCCCTCCGTGGCTTGCCTGCTGGTCTTCCCAGCCTTCAGATGGAGGTGGGACAATCAGGACTGGTGTGGTAGACCCTTCCCATCAAGAAAACAGGCAGACTGGAGGAGAGAGCACCATGGGAAGGAACCAGCTCCTGAATGGTGACTCCAGCATTCACTACGCTCTACAAGAACTATCTTGATTGGCCCTGTGGTCTGTCAGCCTCAAACCATACCTCCTCCTTTTAGTTAGTTGAGGTGGACTTAATAAAAGAGGAAAATACTCTTGCTTTGTTGCTGAAAGCTACTTATACCACTTCCCTGAGCCAATAGTTGAGGCTAGGCACCTGGTTGCATGGGTTCTTGATCCAAGCAGCCTCCCTGAACCACTGTCTGTCATTGTGGAGCCCCAGCTTAGGTACTTTCCTCCTTGCTTGTGGTGATGGGGAGGGCCCTGTTAATATCTACAAGTGGCTCAGCAAGGGCCTTTGGGATGGCCGAGGCAGCTGGGCCATAACCAAACCCAGGCTGCTGACTCCAGCCAGCTGCCTAAGGGGAGCAGTCAAGCGACAGCTTTGTTGGAGCCAGCAAAGCCACATTTTCCTGTTAATCACAGCTTACCTTCCAGGCAGAGGGGAAACTCGGTTTGGGAAGGAAGGGTCTGATAAACAAGGTGGAGACAGGAGTTGTCGCCTTCGCTAGCTGCCTGTCCACTTCCTGCCCATAACTGCCTGCTCTGGGATTGGATAGAGCCCACCCCAGGATAGCACCCCTCTCCCAAGCCACCTCCCCATCCCCATTTCCCAGGAAGGGTAGGGGCTTGGGGTGGCCAGCAATTCGATTTTAATTTCATAGCAGAGCAGTTGATTCATGGCTCTTTGTCGCTGGCGTTGACTCCAGTAATGACTTTCCATCAAAATGAAAAGTGGAGTGACACCACTCATTATTCCTGCTGCTTGTTATCTCAGTTCTAGGGAGGGCTGCCCCCTCCCTGCTGCCTTTCAGCCGTCCCGGACAGTGAGTGATGGCCCCTATTAATCACCGACCCCGTGGACTCCGGCGGACACACACTATCCAAAGGAGAGAGAGATAAGGCCGCATGAACTGCTTGGAGCCGCTCCTATCGATTAATGTCAGCCCACCACTTCCCCCCAGTCTTTGGTTGGTCACCTCCTTTTGGAGGAATCGGGCTGAAATAAGAAGTCCAGGAGCTGAGAAAAGAAAAATATTGGTGTTGGAAAACTGTCCTTAGGATAGTAGGGCATAAAGGAGCATGAGTGGCTGCATTCTGCCCTCGACCTAGAGAGCTGTCTGCTGCTCTTAGTCCCTTTCCGTCTGAGAGTGTGCCTGCCACCTCCTGCCCAGTGTGGTCATCCACCCACTCCATGGGGTGTCTGGCCAGCCTGTGCGGGTCATCAGCTCATCAGGCATGCTGCCCTTGCCCTCTCTAATGTCCCTGCCCAGTCACCAGTGTTACACAGACTCCATTGTTTACAGGGCACAGGCTATGGTGGAAAATCCTGAGGATCGTGTGACCATGGCAGTCTGGGTTCAGGCCTCAAAAGTCTGCTATTCAGATGAGCACTGGACCTGCCCTCCTCGGTCAGTAGGGAAGCTGTCCTCACTGAGGTACAGCCCATTTTCTAGATGGGGAAGTGGGCTTAGATAGATTTCTCAGCAGATAATAAAAATGTGGGAAGGGGTGGGGTGGGATTTGGGGGACTGTTCTGAGAGAGATTGGCCCGTTTCCCTGCTTGTGAAATATAGGCCTTCCCTGACCTCTAGCTAGGATGGTTTCTTCAAAGCCTATACCTAACAACACTAGGGTTATTCTCTAGTATCTTCAACCTCCTTTGCCACTGGCCCCCCACCTCCCGGGCCCCACCATCCTTGCCAGGCTGAAGGTACCAAAGGGGTCCACCTACTGGTTGATCCTCCACAATGGCAGCTCTGTGACTTCCAGGGCTGCTTCTAAATTCCCTCAGCTTCACTCTTGTGCATGTAGATCCCTGCTCGTTTTCCTCAGTGTTATATGGAATTGTCCTAAGAGTAAATGTATTGAGCTACACAGAGCTCTTAGAACAGTGTCTACCAGGGAGCACTCTCTGGACAGCGTGAGCTCTAAAGGACCATGGACATTGATGAGAACTCTCCTTTCTGGCCTGGCTTGCCTTCTTGGAAGGGAGAGGTAAGGCCTCTTTGCTGAGTTTGATGACCAAATTCCAGTAGTCGGCTTTCCAAGGTTGTGAAAAGTTCAGGGAAAGAGGGAGGCTGTGGGCCAAGATTACACACTCGGCATTCTTAGTTTGATATGAATTTATTGCCAAGAGCACACAGTAGTTTAATGTTGACTCCTCTCACCAGCACTGCTGCCTAGCTGAGACTAGTCTCCATGTCTCAGGTAAGGAAGCAAGGAGTCACTTTTCCAGAACCCCTTCTCACTACAGCCTGCATGGCTGACCATGAACATGAGCTAAGTAGAGTGCTAAGGATTGTTCATCTGGGTTCTAGCATTCCAATCCCTGTGTTCACAGGGCTTGTCAGGGACACAGGGACTCCTATACATCTGGAACTTGTTCCCATTTGCCATTGTGGGGCAGGGAACCATTTGTGTCATTCAAACCAAATATCCCTCACCATCTAAAGAAATTCCTTCTCCAAAGCACTGGCTGGAGTTCAGGACAAAAGGAAAGCACATTCAGGCCTTCAGGAGAAAGAGCAAGCTTCCTGGGGCTTGGTCCTGCTTGCTAACTCAAGTGTATACACACACACACACTCACAAATTCTCCAGATGTTGCTTACATTTCACCCTAAGAAACCCAAGTCCTGCAGCTCTTCTTTGCCTTTTTATACATTCCTATCCCTCCTGCTATGAATGTGTAGTTCATCTTTTAATTGTCATTTGTGTATTCTCTTTGCTCCTCCCCTACAAATACATACAAATCTAATAGTAGAAAGCAGAGTGCTCACGCAAGGATTACAGTGGCTCATGCCTATAATCTTAGCTACTTGAGAGACTGAGATTGGGAGGGCCATGGTTCCAGGCTAGCCAGCGCAAATAGTTTGAGAGATCCTATCGCCAAAATAACCAGAACAAAATGGACTGGAGGTGTGGCTCAGGTGGTAGAGCACCTGATTTCTAAGCATGAAACGCCGGGTTCAAACTCTAGTCCCACCCAATCGCCCTCCAAAACAAAATTAGTAATAGGAAGACATTAGGCTTGGGGACATAGCTCAGTGGTAGAGTGCCTGCCTAGCTTGCTGGAGGCCCTGGGGTCCATCCCTAGCACCTCAAAATCAATAAATAGATAAATAAATAGATGGAATACAAAACTGCAATGAATGTAGTGGTTAAGAGCATGCTTTCCAGCTCTGGGCTGCTTGGGTCAGATCCTAGCTCTGTTCTTGCTCATTGTGTGACGTGGAGCCAGTCCCTGGATCTCTCTGTGCCTCTTTTCTCTTTTCCTTCACCTGTAAAACCGGGTAAGGATACAACTTACATCAGATTAGGTGACTATGGTGAGCGTGTACAACACTTAGAATGGGTGTGGCACAGTAAGGCGAAAATGTTCCCCGTTGCAAGAAGGTGGGGGTTGGAAATATTCTGGACTAAGGCTAGAAACTTGTGTCCATGTGTCCCTGATCTTCTGACATGTCCCTTATCAAATCCAGTATCATTCCCATCCACTCTCCAGTCTCTGATACTTCCTTTCTGTTGGCTCTGTCAACAGCCTCCCAGTATCTGCTGGCAACTCTAACCTGCCCTTTCCTTGTTGGTATAGACCTTTTTGCCTTCATCATTTTCCTGCTTAGAAACTCATGCTCCCTTTGGTCCCCATATTCCTAGTGTAGCAGGCCAACCCTTGATAAACAACCTCCATCTGCTGTTCTGCCTGGCTACTCACCCAAGATGCCAATCACACACACATCTCCAAAGTCTGTTTTCTTGTCAGCGCAGCTCAGTTGAGGCCCAAACACATCTCTGGATGTTTGCATTGCCCCTGCAGAGTTAGTCACTACCTCTCTCCTTTCCCTCCCTCCACGGCATTTCCTCAGTCCTGTGTGCTTGTCCTCACAGGACACAGTATAAGGGCTGCCAATGTGACCCAAACTGAGCTCCTTAAGGGCGGGGATAGGGTCTTGATCACTCCAAATGTCTTCCTTGTACTCTCAAACTTCTCTGAACTTCAACTCTCTCAGTAATCCCTCAAGTGACTTTGACCTCCGAAATACTATGATCATGTGACACAGACAGCAAAAAGGAAGAGCCCCAAAAAGCACTAAAAGTTTGGGCAGAAAATTAGGATTGACTTTGTTTTTTGAGAGTTGGGCTCTTTTTTGTACTTGTGATTGAATCCAGTGCCTTACATTTGCTAGGTAAGTGCTGTACCACTTGAGCCACCCCCCACCGCCCCCACTGCCCTTGAGATAGGGTGTTTTGGTATGTAGCCCAGGTCTCAAACTTACCACGCAGCCCAAGGCTGGCCTCCAACTCTGGATCCTCCAGCCTCAGCCCTCTGACTGCTGAGATTACAGGCATGTGCCACCATGCCTAGCATTATAAACTGACCAGCCTGGGCTACCTAGTGAGACCCTGTCTTTAAAACAATAACAAAAAAAATGGGCTACAATGTCTTCACCAGTCATCCAGGGAGAGCACCTCCCTTCCTAGAGGAACTTCTGGGCCTATCTTTTGTCCTCTGTCTCTCTTTAGTGGAAGACACTTCTGAAGAGGAGGGCAGAGGATTGTCACTTCATGCTCTTGGTAATGTCATTGCTTCATAGACCCAGGTTTGCTACCAAAGCTGGGGCCTCAGCCCTGGAATACCGAACACCACACCACCCACATGCTGGGCTTTGAACAAGCTGTTCTGTGCCCTGAGGACTCAGGCCCCAGTGCTACCTCCAGGCTGCCATCCTGCCTGGCACAACCAAGCCCAGCAGGAGGGTGTCAAGGCTACTGAAGGGCTGTGGTGCACGGGGACACCAGCTGACCTGGATCTGCCTGTGTCCTCCAGATGCCCTTCCTCTCCAGTGACAGGGATGAGCAGACCTCTAAGTAAACTGGCCCTGAGTAAACTCTTAGTCAGCCTGCCACCCTCCTCTCCTTCCCCAGGCTCCAAAGAAAACCAGTTTGAATATTTAAACTTCTCCTGTGTGTCTAATAAAAAGTTCTGCACTATTTAACGCCCCAGCTATCCATTACTGTCGGGAGCTGCCCTCTCCTCCTAGCGTCCCCCTCCTTCCCTCTCACCCAAACCATGGCGCGCAGCAAAGCCATTTGTCAAACTG